GCTCTCAACAATCTCAAGAGGTGGGTCCTCATTTTATTGATCTTGGAAGGATGGAAGGCTGAGTCAGCCTTGAACCCCCTCAGAATGCAGCGCAGAGAAGAGCAACAAAGATGATTAGGGGACTGGAGGCTAAAACATATGAAGAACGGTTGCAGGAACTGGGTATGTCTAGTTTAATTAAAAGAAAGACTGGGGGAGACACGATAGCAGCGTTCCAATATCTCAGGGGTTGCCACAAAGAAGAGGGAGTCAAGATATTCTCCAAAGCACCTGAAAGTAGGACAAGAAGCAATGGGTGGAAACTAATCAAGGAGAGAAGCAAGTTAGAACTAAGGAGAAACTTCCTGACGGTTAGAACAATGAATCAGTGGAACAACTTGCCTCCAGAAGTTGTAAATGCTCCAACACTGGAAGTTTTTAAGAAGATGTTGGATATTCATTTGACTGAAGTGGTGTAGGGTTTCCTGCCTAAGCAGGGGGTTAGACTAGAAGACCTACAAGGTCCCTTCCAACTCTGTCATTCTATTCTATTTAGAATCTATCTTCAGTGAGCAGAGTTGGCCTACAATGCTACATTCTAACTACCACACAACCTGGAGTTCGATCCTGATGGGGCTCAAGGTTCACACCCACACCCACATCTCAAGATGGTGAACGTATCTAATACTCCTTCTTCATCCTACTTTTTTTACTTTTCAAACCCAGATCTAAACTCAACTGGGCCTTTTTTTGTGGAACTGCTTAGTTCTTTTTCCTTTTGATTTATGCTGCATTGAGTGGATTTACTCATGGAAAAGTGCGACCAAACATTTAAGCAAACCAACAGAAAACTGCAGTATGATGACCAGTTACATATTTCAGCAGCTGAAAAACTCACGTCACTTCTACTCAATGTCCTCCAACCCACAGCCCAAAGGAAAGGCCGGATGCCACATGGAGGATTGCACAGCAATCTGTGGCCATCCTGACGGCTGCCACTGTGAGAACAGCCACAGCTATCTGTGATTTCCCACCCTATGAAAAAGATGCCATCAAAGATGGCAATTGATCAGGCCCCCTTTGTCTCACCAGTTTTGTTCATGGCAAACAGCTCTTCTCTCCCTCCCAAACAACAATGAGGAAATGCCTAGCACTAGAGGGCTTCAAATGCTCATGGCTCAGAGGAGGGTCGGAGCCAAGAATATAGCAATAGCAATAGCAGTTAGACTTATATACCGCTTCATAGGGCTTTCAGCCCTCTCTAAGCGGTTTACAGAGTCAGCATATCGCCCCCAAAAATCCGGGTACTCATTTTACC